GAGGGAACTCCGATCAAAGTCTATCTCTCAATCGGGCTCAGTGAGAGCAGAGGATGGTCACATTGTGTCAGAGCCTGGTGAGTATGGGTTGAGTACTTTGAGCAACTGTATAGGGTAGATCCCCCGTCTTCACAACTCCCGTTGGCTGGCACACAGCCACTAGTGGCTGATGCACCAATCGGTGAGGCACCACCTTCCATCAAAGAGGTGAGAAGGGCAGTGTCTAAGCTGAAAAGTGGAAAGGCTGCTGGTGTCTGTGGGATTGCTGCAGAATTGTTGAAGGCGGGTAGAGAAGCCATGATCTGTGGTTTGCATGCAGTCCTGTCTGCCGTTTGGGAGACTGGTACCATTCCCCCTGACTGGAAAAGGGGCTTGGTCATCCCTATCTGGAAAGGGAAAGGGGACCAAAAGGACTGCGGCAACTACAGAGGTATTACATTGCTCAGCGTACCAGGCAAGGTCCTCGCTCATTTGCTTTTGGCACGAGTGCTCGACCACCTATTACGAGCACAGAGACCTGAGCAGTCTGGTTTTACACCCAAGTAGTCAACTATAGACCGTGTCTTAGCACTTCATGTCCTTGTGGAACGCCGACTTGAGTTTCAACAGGATATACGCCGGACGAGAGGATGCTGGCGTCGATGCCCCTGGCGGCCCCGACAGCTTCGAAGTGTCAGGCCTTGTCTGCGGGCAGAGAGAGTCCGGGCGGTAATCGTGCTCCGCGCGGTAAGCCTCCGGGCTAGTACAGTGGTAACGTGTCGGCCTCTCATCCGAGAGGTCGGCGGTTCGCGCCCCGCCCAGGCGCGAGAAGTTACAATTGTCGCTTGGAGGTCACTGCTGTGGCTGGGCACCACGGTGGGTAAGGACTAAGCTCATCCGAGTCAGCACCAGCTGACACACTGTTTGCGAGTCGACATTAGTCGGCACAGACCGGGCTCCCCCCATAGCCCGGCCGAGGCTGAGCTTCGCATATCGGACTTATCCTTATCCTCCGCGCGGTACATGCTCTGGCACTAGCTTACGCACATGTCGCTAAAAGCATTATATAATTTCTCTCGCACTTATTACATGTTCAATTTTATGGCACCTAAGCCTATTACATACCGAGGATTCGTGGGAGAAGGGTTATGTAGTAGAGCAAGCCATTGTCTCTCGTTTAGGCCTTCAGAGTAGCACTTTTTCCATTCGCTATTGTTTATCTCTTGGTAATAGCGCCACTGTTAATGAGCCCATTTGTTCACGATTTTCTTTTAGCCATTAGGTAGTTTGCCCAATTTACTTTCATACCTTATTCATACTTCACTTTATATCTTCCATTTCCTTCCTTTCATATTATATATATATATATATATATATATATATATATATATATATATATATATATACATATATATATTATACATATATATATTATACATATATATATTATACATATATATACATATATATATATATATATATATATATATATATATATATATATATATATATATATATATATATATATATATATATATTACCTGTATAATAAAAACCACTGAGTCATATCGAATGCATTGAAATCTTTCTTTGGGAAAGACTTAAAGACGGAAAGTGATTGTCGTATTTCCCATCTCTCTCTCTCTCTCTCTCTCTCTCTCACTCTCTCTCTCTCTTAGGGTGGGGTGTTGCAGGGGGCCACCTGCATAATACATTTCAGTGACTTTTTTATTGTGTGTTGTTATAAGAAATTCATTTCTATTATATTCATATTTTACACCGCCATTTCCCTGGAACCTTTCATGCCCTCCCCTGCTATCGGGGCCAAGCTTGTCGCTAAAGGGGAGTCTTCCGCGAAATAGTTTCTATATATTCAGATAATAAAGAGTGAGTCCAGCGATACCAAAATCGTCATGGTAGGTTATACGACGCTATTCTAGAAAATTACCGTAATTTACTTATTGCGAAGCACATAACCCCCATTCAAAGGGGCTACCGCCGGATCTACAAAATCTTTACCTCGTATGTTCCGGCAAGGTCAGATAATTCTTCTCTGGCGTTATCCATCATTTCCAATAATACCTATATAACATACGTCTTTTCTTTTTGTTTCTAGAAACTTTTATATGCTTACCTTCCAATAGAGATGAAATTTTTTTGTTTATTTTACGTTGTTTTTTATTTTTATTTTTATGACATTCAACTTGTTTTTTTTTGTTTTTTTTTTTTTGTGAAGGGAACAGGATTAGAAGGTAAAGGTATGTTTACCTTTATTCATTTTAATCATGAATTCAGCTCTTCATTAATTTCCTTTTTCTAGAATACATAATTCTATCATTTTCCTTATTCTTATCCCTTATTTAGATCTGGGTTGTATGTTATCATTGTTTCCTCTGTAAATAATTTATTCATAGCTTTAATTATTTTCTATATATTTCCCTATAATTACACCAATGGTCCTGGGGAACCTGTATAGCACTTACTTGTGTCCTCGTGTCTCAGCATCTTTATTATGTTATTTATTTATTATCAAGTAGATAAACTCTTTTTTATGAATTTGACTTCTGTTATATTATTTGAGTTTATTAATATAATTTCCTGAAGATTGTAAAGAGAGCTATCCCTCTCCCTGCTCCTAAGATGCTCAACAGTTGTAATTACAGTCTATATTTTGTTTAGATTTTTTTTTTCGTTATAATTAAAAAAATATATTCATGTGCATCTATGTATATTTGTTTGTTTGTTTCTCTTTTTCATCCTTTAGCTTTTACACAAAAATGTGGACACTTGTAATCTGAGCAGGGATTCGTACATAGTATACTTTGTACTATAACACCCAAGTGAACTTTTCATTGTTATTTTGACTAAAATCTTTTCTTATGTATAAAAGTGTGAAAAAGATAAAGTATGGAAGAGCGATAATCCCAGTTGATCAAGCTGTTTTGTATACATTTGTAGATCTGGTAATTGTAATGAAGAATATTTTGCGCTAAGCGTAACAAAATTGTAAACAGACAGAAAATTAGAAAGAGCATGTGAGGTA